GGAATTCTGCTATGACAGCAGCAGTCACTATGGCAACTGATGAGGGAATCAAGAAAGACCCAGAGGAGATTTCAGGTTGGTCCTTCCTGTTTCCCTGTACAGACTTTTTTCTTCTTTCCTCCACTCACTTTGGAAAAGGGAGGAAGTGGGGTAACAAAAGCAAGCTTTTGTCAGTGATGGCTGGGATTACTGGGAGTTACAGCCTCAATCTTTCTGTAGGGTACCACTTTGGGGAAAGCTGGTCATAAACCTGACCCATCAGCAGGAGCCATTCCAGTTATTGTGTATGCACCTTCCTTGAACAATCCTCTGATAGTTTGCCCCAAGGACAAATGGCTTCTAGTGTTTTACTTGACATGCTCTGAAAGCCATTGTCAGCCTGTTGTGGCTGCTTGTGAACATACATGTGTTCCAAGCATTGTTTCCAAGTGGCCAATGAACAGTTTACATGTGTCTTCTCTGGTGTAGGCATCTTTTAGTTCAGTGATACTTACTTCCAGGTAAGCATGTACAGTTTGGATTGACAAGTTAGCAATCAATTCCCTCAGATGTTTGGTACTGTACAGTAGTTTGCTGGTCTTAGCGGTAGAAACTTTGCTGTACAACTGCCAAACAGTTTTTCCTTTAAAAATGTTTGTCTTTCTGTGGCAGAGGACATGCTGATGTTCTGGAAAGGAATTGCTGATGTGGGTTTGATGGAAGAAGTGGTCTGTAATATTCAGAAGGAGATAGAGGAGGTGCTAAGAGGTGTGCAGCAAAGACTTGCCCAGTCCCCTTTCCAGATTACCGGTGGGTAAGAGGTCAGCAGTCTCCATGTTGATATGAAATGATAACCACTAGGGCAGACTCCCTGCCTTATTTATGCTTTGTGAATTATATTTCTATATAGTGCTCGTTTTATCCTTTTATTAACTACCCTCCAATGATAGTTTTCCTATGAGGAGGAGTAGCTGTTTGAAAATGCAATATAATCCTAAAAAAGCAAAGTAGTGAACATTACAGGAAAATGCCAAAACCAACTAAAACCCAACAAAGCTGTAAAGCATCTTTTTCCAGCAGGTTTCCATTGTCCAGATGTGTTGTATCGTAGCTCCCATAGTTGCCAGTCAGCTTGGGGAAATGTAGTCCATTGCTTCAGGGATGAACGAACTAAGTCTATTGGGGAAAAAAAGGTTCTATAAAGCATGCAAGAATGGCAGGAGGATGATGATGCTGCTGCTGCTGCTGCTGCTGCTGCTGCTGCTGCTGCTGCTGCTGC